ATGTTTACATATAATGTAAGTCCTATTGTAATGATGTCAGAGCCTCCAAATACAATCTTAGCACAAATTAAAGTGGTAATGGTCGGAGAATCATTTGTCTTTATACTGTAGGACTTTCACCAGTGCTGCTGTTCCTTCTGAGGGGCAATTGTGCAGGCCTCTTGTCCATTGGTTTCGGTTGCCTAAATGAAGCCAAATTACTCTTATGATCTCCAACTGCTGCTGACTGCATGTACTGCTTTCTCTACATTTAATACATTGGCCAGGAGCAAAACAATATTCCTTTGGTGCACCTCCTACAAACACGGGTGCAGATAGTAAAAAAAAAAACCCAAACCACAAAATAAAAAAACCCGAATCCATCATCTGCAGCATCTTTCCATGTAATAGTAACAGTCTCTTGGTGCCATCATCAGCCATGGCATTTCATTCACACAGAACACTTGTGGGCACATCACATATGTTTTTCCATTCAGTGTATTTTTAAATGTTTCCCAGGCAACTGTTTCAATACAATATGCCTCCTTGGCAACCTGGTACCCACAAATGCCATGCCAGTCTCCCTAGTCCTCTTTTTAGGTCTTCTCATCTTGGCATTTCCATATACAGCTACACAGGTACTGATCTGTCCTCATATTTGAAAATGGAAGGCTGAATTGAAAATATGAGCTGTGCACTGGACTTTGCACATCATTGACAAATTCAGGCTCTGGTAAGCTACCAGAGGAAGCAGGCTGCAAAGGCAATGACTTTTCACTAAAAAGACTATGTCACCTACAACTAAAATTAGGATGAGCCTGCAAAACCATCTCCACTCAACTGACTTTCTCTGGAAACATCAATGAGCCTGCACTTCTCAAACTGAAACTGCATGTCATCTTCATTCTCCTGACTATGCTAAAGGAAGCCTTACACAGCTTTCGTAATTTTGTGGCTCAAATTGTAATACATTATGTTGATGAAAATAGTCAGACGTTCCCATTTCACTACAGTGATTACACTGAGTGAGCCAATAGGACTGAGCTACTCTTTCCAGTGCTCCATTTGCTGCCACTAGGCTGTCGAGGAGATAGGGCAGAGTCCTTTTGGTGCAGGAACTTCCACTCATGACATTTAGCAGAATGGACGTGCTGATCCCTGAGTGAAGTCACAGACTATTTGACAAGGACAAAAAATTATCAACATATACTCCTAAAGCAAGCACTGATTAGATAAAATAATTAAAACATAGTAACGTTTCAATTTTCTAGCAGGGCACAATTTATTCTGTACATTCTTATCTGATACAAGAGCTATCACTACAGAACCAAAGATATTTCAGAAGGACTAAATCTGCGAGCATCAGTTACCATCAAAAAGAGTTTTACTAAAAGCTGTATATGTTTTAGCCTCAAAGTGGTACATTCAAAAAAAATAACAGCTCATGCATGCAATTGCATCAGGCTCTGAGAGAAACCTAGCAGAAACTATGGCACCTCTTCTTCATCGATTACTCCATAACAACAGCTGAAAATTACAATTTTTCCAGGCTATAAAATGCCTAGCACTCCAAATTCTACACCGGCAGCAAAAATCTCCTCCCTGTCTGTGAGCTGTTGTATCTGTAATAGAGACCCTGCATTACCAGGCTTTCTAATTCTTCCCAAATGCAGAAGCTCTCATTCAATGTTGCAGCTGTTGGGTAGGAAATCAGAAATAGCAGAAGGCGGATTAGTTGATAATGTACCAGTTCTTCCCCAGCAAATGCTGGCACCTGCGTTTTACACTCTCCTCTTTCCCTCAGCCCAGGAAAAGATCACTTGGTTTGTTTGGCAGGCAATTTGTAGGCTTTAGCGATTGTGGAATTGCGAAAGGATTAGAATTTGTTATAATAGCCCCTTCTTCCTGAGAGCAAAAGTTAAAACTGAGGCCCACTTTACAGCAAGAATCAGGGACCATGTAAGTAAAGATTAAGCGTGTGCAGCTTGATGAGACTCTACAGGGAATAGATAACTACACATGCTGGCACTCCATTTACAAGGAAATCCCTAAAGATAATCTGTAGGAGCATTCTACTTCCAAAAGCTCAAATCCCTTGACCACTGGCTCAAATCCAGTCAAGGCTGCTGATGATAAAGACTGCTCTTTGCATTTCTACGAGAACTTTTTTCTAAGATCACAAAACACTCTCATTATTAAATTATGCGACACCCAAAGTCAAGCAAGAAGTAATAGGATTTCCGTGCCAGTGGAGGAAAGAGCAGATACCATTCTATATGATCTTGTGCAACATGTCAGAACCAAGAGCAGATCCTATTCTACACTTCATGCTGTAAGTACATAATTAATTCTGGAAAGATGCAGATGAAAAATACTAAGTACATATAATAGACAAGGCTGTGGAGTCTCCATCTCTGGAGATATTCAAAACCTGCCTGGATGCGCTCCTGTCCAACCCGTTCTAGGTGAATCTGCTCTGGCAGGGGGTTGGACTAGATAATCTCTGAAGGTCCCCTCCAACCCCAGCCATTCTGTGATTCTGTGACAAAGATTTCTAGAATGATAGTTTCAAATCTACAGGTAGTTACAGAAGCAGATAGAACAAGAATGAAAACACCCACTGACATGCTTGCCCTCATAGGGTATAATGGGTATGCATTAAACAGATAACAATGAAAAAAGAATCTTACAGCACCAAGTTTTCAGTTAAATCCACAAAATACAAAACCACCTACAAGCTATACTTGCTACAGAAGCAAGGTTTTTCCCTTTTGCTTTTTACAATCAGCAGCTGCAGTAATAATTTCCACTGTTCCTTTTATTATAGTCTTTCATTTGTGGCCCTTACTGCACAACAACCATTTTTTATGCTCACCCATAATAAAGCTTTTGCAAATGCTATAATGCATGACTCACAGTACTAACAGTACCACACAGCAACACCTTCAGCACAAAAAACAGACTACACTTCTGATTGCTGTTTCAGAAGTCATATCTAACAAAATAAATCTGTTGGTACAATGCATGATTTAGGAGGAGAAGATAGTTAAAGTAGTATCCCAGGGGTCACAAGATATGTAAAACACTAACCCAAACATCACAGGAACAGAAAAAGAAATCCTGTGGCATAAACAATCATTAACGTAGATATACCTAGAAATATGTACAGAGGCCTGCAGACATTAGCTCAAGCTAATGGCTTTCACTGCCCCTCAGATTTCTTAAAAGCAAGGTTTTTATATTGTTTGCTGCCGCCAAGTGGTGATAACCAGTGCTGTGTCTTATAATTCACAGCAGACATTTAGATTGGCAAGTAAAAAACCCAAAATGAAGTACTTTTCAATTTCTGAATTTCAATTTCTGAATGTCAATTTCATTTTAGTCTGCCTATCACATAGCAGAAACTCTAGTATGACTATTAGGATTTTTTTTATTATTATTTTTCAGATGGGCTATCTTGGGTAGAAATGTACACAGTTCCCATTAGCAACCAAACACTTTATACTTCTAAGATTTTTATCCTCACTCCTACACAAAAAGGAAACCCATTAACGCTCTCTTAATGTTATAAAGTTAGCTATCACAAAGAGTAAAAGACATTATCTCACTACAGATATGGACTCACAGAAACACAAATTACCCGAGTTAACACAGGAAAGCTGTAAGCTGCACCGAGCCTCCCAGATCGCTGGCTGCTCTCTAACTGAATCATCTTCAGCCTATAACACAGCTGGAGGTGGCTGGCTGTACCTGTCTCTTCTCAGGTGAAATCTACCAATCTATTCCTACTTCCTGGTTCACATCTGTTCAAGACATGTAAAAACTCAAGTCAACTGCTACTTAATACATTTTTGGGGGTGTGTGTGCCCAACACAGTAATTCCCAGGCATAACTTTTAATACAGTGCTGCAGTCAATACTGACACCTTGTTAGTCTGAGGAGGGAGTCCAAGGATGAAACAGTGCACAAGATATTCAGTGCTGCAGAAGTGCAGTTATAGAAAAGGAACTTGAACTTGGATTCATCTTGTACCAATAATAAATTGGTTTTATGAAAAAGAGCACTCTGTACCTGCTTTTCCTCACAAACACCTGTTATCAAACAGAATTTTTCATTCCCTTGTGCAATTATTCTCGTATCAATTGTGAAGAATTTAATCAGTGGAGTTACTTTCTCCTTTTATCTAACTACTGGAGAATTTTGAAGAGTCTGTCATCATTTCTCTATTATGTCTGTTTTTGAAAAAGCTGCAGCCTGGTCAGTGTGTCTATCCATTTCAAAAACTACCAGTGATGGCTCTGCTCTACCAAGAGCTTTATTTCAACGCACCCCAGGACATCCCTGCCAAAAAAGTGCACCACTTCAACAGATTCTTTCCCAAAAGAGAAATTAGATCAGACCTGCACTCCCAACCTACTTTACCATTTGGACCAACAATCTTTGGCTTCGGCTTTACACTGCAGCAAACAGATCCTCGGTACCGGTACAAAACACACTGGCTGCATGGCAGGCAGCCCTGAGCCCACCGCCATCTTATTCCCCTCAGGGCAAAGCCCAGAACATTCTCTCTTCACCCACGGGCCCAGCCTGAGGACAACCCGATAAACTGCTGTGAGCCCACACAAACGGGCCACACTGCGTTGCCGCGACGGCCGCTCCGCATCCATGCCCCACATACACCAAAATGCTACAAATACATAAAGTTTAAGGAGTTAAAGTAATACTAAAAGGTCGAGTTTGGCGGCAGGCAGCCACTCAGCAGCTGAGGGTACTACAAGCCCCGTCGAGCTCAGCGTGCGGAGAAGGGCGGGGCTTTCCTCAGAAAAAGGGCGGGCTCCGCCTCAGGAGAAGGGAGGGCTTTCCCTCAGGAAAAAAGGGCAGGCTTCGCATGAAAAGGGTGGACTTCTCCTCAGGAGAAGGGATGGCTTTTCCTCAGGAAAAAAGGGCGGGCTTCGCATGAAAAGGGTGGTCTTCTCCTCAGGAGAAGGTATGGCTTTCCCTCAGGGAAAAAGGGTGGGCTTCTCTTGAAAAGGGTGGTCTTCTCCTCAGGAGAAGGTATGGCTTTCCCTCAGGAAAAAAGGGTGGGCTTCTCTTGAAAAAGGTGGTCTTCTCCTCAGGAGAAGGGTTGGCTTTCCCTCAGGAAAAAAAGGGCGGGCTTCTCCTCATGATAAGGGCGGGCGTTCCCTCAGGAGAAGACTGGGTTTTGCCTCAGGAAAAAAAGGCGGGCTTTCCCCTCAGGCAGCGGCTGCCCGCCCCCCGCGCCCTTCAGTCAGGGCGGCTCGGAGGGCGGAGCGGGAGGTAGCGGTGCCGCGGCCGGCCCGCCCGCCCAGAGGCAGCGAGCCAGTCGGGAGGAGGAGGAAGAAGAGCGGGAGGAGGAGGAAGAAGAGCTGCTCGGCCGCGGACGCCAGCGCCGTCCGCCGGTGAGGCGAGGGGGAGCTCTGAGGCGGCGCCGCCCCTCGCCGGGCTGTAGAAGGCCGGTCCGGGCGGGCCCCGCGCCTCAGCCATGTCTCAGGAAGGAGCCGCCAAGCTGCGCCTCAAGCCCAGGAAGGCGCCGCCAGCCTGCAGCCGGGAGATCAGCCCTGGCCGGGAGTCCCCCCGCCGGCGCCGGTGAGTCCGGGCCGGGTCGGGGAAGGGGCTCCTGCGGAGGGGCCGGGAGTAGCTCCGCCTCAGCCGCCATCGCCCTCAGCTCCCCCGCCGGGGCCTGCGCGGCCGCTGGAGGCCGGAGGGTCGGGCCGGGCCGGGCCGCAGACGCTCCCGTCAGAGAAGGGAGCGCCGTGCCCTCCGTCGGGTTTCCGGGCCGTGAAGGTGCAGCTGGGTCCTCAAACGCACCTGAAATATTTCGTAGCCGCACCTGTTGCACGTTGTGTTAAAGGCTTCTTCATAAAACACTACCCGTAGTGCCTTTAAGAAATGGAGAAACTAACCGCAAAATAAAGTGTACCAGGCCCTGTGCCTTCTGCATGTTCTTGGGCACAGAACAGCACCGTCAAGGACAGGACCCAAGAGAAATGTTAACATATGAAAATTAAGTTTTCTTTCTTCTGAGTAAGGGTCATGAGACCAGAAATCATTCCTGTTTTTTCCAGCCCTCGAGTGAGGGAGGATTGAAGAAAGGCGGGGTGATGAGGCAGAGAGTGGTCCAGTTCTTATTTTGGCCTGTTAGGATGAGTGAGCATGCCCTAAAACCCGTGCCCCTTCCAAAAACAGGCATCAAAAGGCTGATCACTCAATTTCTTGAGAGCTTGTAAGACTTGTCTCTAGTTTCTTCTCAGTGCAGCAATGCAATTCCCATCCTCAGTGCAAACACTTCAATGATTTCTGTGCTCAGCAGGTGTCAAGTTCAGTATTTGAGAAGAAAAAACAGTGGCTACAGCTAATTGTTTCACTTGGAAGTGCAGACAGTAATAAATACCTGCATCTCACTTGTTACAGGGAGAAAGCAAGGCTTTTAGATACTCTTATTAAAAATTGGATAATTTTTTGATAGCTCTATGAGTTATGTTAAGTCATGGCAGACAGCAAAAATTAGGTTATAGGCTAAATAATGTCTCTGTGCTCTAGAAAAATCTTGCTGAAGGCTAGATGAAGGTTCACTTCGTAAACAAATAGTATTATAAACAGGTAAATATTTTTTCCTCCACAGGCTGTCTTGCCTCTCTTTTAAAATCAAACATCTGCATTTGCATACTTGCAGCTACTGACAAATGCTTTTCACGTGTCCCTTTGTGGTTTGACATGGCAAAGTTCTCAAATACTATTTTTGGTTTAACATATACAGTGCTACTTGATCAAAAGAAAATAGGTAAGAATGGAGTTCTGTGTTGTATGAATGGAAAAGTTATACTTATTTTCAGTCATAAAATCCCTACCTTGTGCTTAGCTGTTCACAAACGGAAAGGGGTCACCACACTTAGCCATTGAATTGGACTGAAGGGTGATGTGCTATCAGGTGTTGGAAGTTTTTAGTTTTAAAACTTTTACTTTGATAAATCACAGTTAACGATAGCTACTTGTTCTTTTAAAGATCAATGTTGCAGATCATGTAAATCAAATTAATTAAGGGACAAACTAATAGCATTGCAGAGTATTTTCTTCCATCTCTCCCACCCACTCACACTATCGGACTGTCTCTCGTGCAGGGTATCGGCTGGCAGTTGTTCCTGGTTTGAAAAAGAAGATTTAAATGAGTGTGAAAAACCATGGATTTTGTTACTGAAAACCATCAGTCAAGATTTACAATGCACAAATTGGCAAACAGTGCCCAGTTTTCCGGAGTTCTTTGGGAAGGTAGTGTGCTGCGTCCTTCTGGTCTGCACTTTGTGTACTCCTTACAATAGTGACAGCCTGAATGATGATGTTAAAAGGGGAAAACAGTCTGAAATAGTTTTTAAATAGATGTAGGGTTGGCTCTTTAGTCTTTACATACGGTGGTGTGACCTGCCATTGTGTGGCAGGTAGTAAGGAGAACTACTAAGGGCTTTTTTTGCAGTCTGGCAAATGCTTTAGAACGTTTTGCTGGGAAGAGGTAAGGTGTGTACATATACTGACTGCTCATGTGCACCAGCATCTCCCTAACGGGATGAAACTGGAAAAGGCAAACTGCACCAGAAGAGTTAATTACACAGTAACGACCATTACATTGCTCTGATAGCGCTGGGCAATATCATAACACAAAAACCACAGTCCTTCTAAAGAAGATTTTTTTTTTCTCCCTGAACAGCAGCAGGTTGGGTTTTTTTCATCTTTGGTCTCTATTGGGACATATTAAGAGAGTACCCCACTGTATCAGTTTAGAAATGTTAATGGGAGACACACACTGCATAAACTCCAGGAAGTTCTTAATTGCTTTCCAAGTGCTGCAGATGGATGTAAATAAAATGTTCTTTTCTTCAGTGTAGTTTAGCCTTCTTGGTATTTGTAATATGTTCGGCCTTGGTTTTATGTATTGATTGTTTGAAGATATTGTGTGTGTGTGTCACAGAGTTCAGAGGAAGAGAGTCCACGAAAACAGGAAGTGTTTACAATTGGAATGAAAGACTTTCAGTGGGTATCGTTCCCATCTTTTCCCAAAGAAAAATACTTAGAGCCAAAGGATCTTAGCTCCCATCAGCTGACACAGAGCCAGACCGACCATCTACAGCAAGGACGGGGCCAAGCATCATACACTGAATGCACTGATACACTGAAAAGTTTACCTTCTACAGCTGAGAAAACATGCTGTGGAACTACTACAGATCACATCAAAAATATGGTTGGGGGAGACACGAAAGGAATTTCAAAATTGGATATAAGCCCTAAATCGTGTAAACTCACTCAACACAGTTCTACACACCCCTTGGGATTGTCCCAAAGCTCTGCAGAAGCTTTTAGCTTCCAACAGCTCTGCAGAGGGATGGAACAGAACAGGGAAAACAGAAAAGAAGATTATAGGGAAGAGCTTCAAATAAAAACACATCAAGGGACTATTTCATTTGGTGAGGCCAGATCTGTGCCTGCGGAAGAGAAGCCTCTTGGGAGCGTACCTGGAACTGAAAGCTGCAAGACGACGACTGAAAATCAGAGTGGAGGATCTTCAACTCTTGACAGTTGTCCAATGTGTCTGATTCATTTTAATGGATAATTGTTTCACTTGGAAGTGCAGACAGTAATAAATACCTGCATCTCACTTGTTACAGGCAGAAAGCAAGGCTTTTAGATATTCTTTTTAAAAATTGGATAATTTTTTGATAGCTCTATGAGTTAAGTCATGGCAGACTGCAAAAATTAGTTTATAGGCTAAATAATGTCTCTACGCTCTAGAAAAATCTTGCTGAAGGCTAGATGAAGGTTCACTTCGTAAACAAATAGTATTATAAACAGGTAAATCTTTTTTCCTCCACAGGCTGTCTTGCCTCTCTTTTAAAATCAAACATCTGCATTTGCATACTTGCAGCTACTGACAAATGCTTTTCACGTGTCCCTTTGTGGTTTGACATGGCAAAGTTCTCAAATACTATTTTTGGTTTAACATATACAGTGCTACTTGATCAAAAGAAAATAGGTAAGAATGGAATTCTGTGTTGTATGAATGGAAAAGTTATACTTATTTTCAGTCATAAAATCCCTACCTTGTGCTTAGCTGTTCACAAACGGAAAGGGGTCACCACACTTAGCCATTGAATTGGACTGAAGGGTGATGTGCTATCAGGTGTTGGAAGTTTTTAGTTTTAAAACTTTTACTTTGATAAATCACAGTTAACGATAGCTACTTGTTCTTTTAAAGATCAATGTTGCAGATCATGTAAATCAAATTAATTAAGGGACAAACTAATAGCATTGCAGAGTATTTTCTTCCATCTCTCCCACCCACTCACACTATCGGACTGTCTCTCGTGCAGGGTATCGGCTGGCAGTTGTTCCTGGTTTGAAAAAGACGACTTACATGAATGTGAAAAACCATGGATTTTGTTACTGAAAACCATCAGTCAAGATTTACAATGCACAAATTGGCAAACAGTGCCCAGTTTTCCGGAGTTCTTTGGGAAGGTAGTGTGCTGCATCCTTCTGGTCTGCACTTTGTGTACTCCTTACAATAGCAACAGCCTGAATGATGATGTTAAAAGGGGAATAGTCTGAAATAGTTTTTAAATAGATGTAGGGTTGGCTCTTTAGTCTTTACATATGGTGGTGTGACCTGCCATTGTGTGGCAGGTAGTAAGGAGAACTACTAAGGGCTTTTTTTGCAGTCTGGCAAATGCTTTAGAACGTTTTGCTGGGAAGAGGTAAGGTGTGTACATATACTGACTGCTCATGTGCACCAGCATCTCCCTAACGGGATGAAACTGGAAAAGGCAAACTGCACCAGAAGAGTTAATTACACAGTAACGACCATTACATTGCTCTGATAGCGCTGGGCAATATCATAACACAAAAACCACAGTCCTTCTAAAGAAGATTTTTTTTTTCTCCCTGAACAGCAGCAGGTTGGGTTTTTTTCATCTTTGGTCTCTATTGGGACATATTAAGAGAGTACCCCACTGTATCAGTTTAGAAATGTTAATGGGAGACACACACTGCATAAACTCCAGGAAGTTCTTAATTGCTTTCCAAGTGCTGCAGATGGATGTAAATAAAATGTTCTTTTCTTCAGTGTAGTTTAGCCTTCTTGGTATTTGTAATATGTTCGGCCTTGGTTTTATGTATTGATTGTTTGAAGATATTGTGTGTGTGTGTCACAGAGTTCAGAGGAAGAGAGTCCACGAAAACAGGAAGTGTTTACAATTGGAATGAAAGACTTTCAGTGGGTATCGTTCCCATCTTTTCCCAAAGAAAAATACTTAGAGCCAAAGGATCTTAGCTCCCATCAGCTGACACAGAGCCAGACCGACCATCTACAGCAAGGACGGGGCCAAGCATCATACACTGAATGCACTGATACACTGAAAGGTTTACCTTCTACAGCTGAGAAAACATGCTGTGGAACTACTACAGATCACATCAAAAATACGGTTGGGGGAGACATGAAAGGCATTTCAAAATTGGATATAAGCCCTAAATCGTGTAAACTCACTCAACACAGTTCTACACACCCCTTGGGATTGTCCCAAAGCTCTGCAGAAGCTTTTAGCTTCCAACAGCTCTGCAGAGGGATGGAACAGAACAGGGAAAACAGAAAAGAAGATTATAGGGAAGAGCTTCAAATAAAAACACATCAAGGGACTATTTCATTTGGTGAGGCCAGATCTGTGCCTGCGGAAGAGAAGCCTCTTGGGAGCGTACCTGGAACTGAAAGCTGCAAGACGACGACTGAAAATCAGAGTGGAGGATCTTCAACTCTTGACAGTTGTCCAATGTGTCTGATTCATTTTAATGGAACGTAAGTATTTATTTAGTCATTTTTAATAACTTCACAGTATACATGGTTGGGGGAGACACGAAAGGTATTTCAAAATTGGATATAAGCCCTAAATCATGTAAACTCACTCAACACAGTTCTACACACCCCTTGGGATTGTCCCAAAGCTCTGCAGAAGCTTTTAGCTTCCAACAGCTCTGCAGAGGGATGGAACAGAACAGGGAAAACAGAAAAGAAGATTATAGGGAAGAGCTTCAAATAAAAACACATCAAGGGACTATTTCATTTGGTGAGGCCAGATCTGTGCCTGCGGAAGAGAAGCCTCTTGGGAGCGTACCTGGAACTGAAAGCTGCAAGACGACGACTGAAAATCAGAGTGGAGGATCTTCAACTCTTGACAGTTGTCCAATGTGTCTGATTCATTTTAATGGATTAGTCATTTTTAATAACTTCACAGTATACAAACCCCAAAATGGTTCTGGATGCATTCTCTATATACAAAATATTAGAAAAAATTCTACTGTAAAGTAATTCTGAATGTTAGAATTAATACTTCTGTTTAGAAGTTCATGATTACTGGATTATACTGTTTCAAAAAGGAAGCTTGAGTTTGAGCCCTCTGGCAGACCGTGCTAGTATATGCAGAATTAGCATTTTTAAAGACTTTTTTGCAATATTTGTATCATAATCCAAAAACCATTCCAGTGCAGCATTCTGGATAGCTAAAAGCTAAGTTTAGGGCTGGCTGGATTAATCTTATACCTGTCACTTTCTCTTCAAGATCTGAACATCACAACCTGTTCAGCAAGTGCTGGATGCCTTTGGCTGAGCAACTCTGCTCTTAATTTTCGATTTAGCACTCAAAGTCTGGGCAAGACTGAAGGAAGCTGGTTTTCCTTACGCAAGCCCTGATTAGAACAATTAAATGAGACTTACTATGCTACTGTAACACTTCTGTAATTGATTAGGAAATGAGGGAGTGAAGGTAAAGGACAGTGTAAATAGGATTTGGTTTTGTTTCTCAGTGAACAAATTGTCTGTATTTGCAGGCTGTCACAACTGGACATTGATGGCCACCTGGCCAGATGCCTGTCTGAAAGTGCAGATGATGTGATGTGGTAAATCCAGAAGAACGAAGAGCAAAGGAACAAGGCCAAGGATGAACTTTCTCCAAGGAAAAATGTGCCAGGGAAGCACGTTCTTGTCTCAAACTTTCTTAAGGACCACAAACCAATAACTCAGTAGTAAGTCAACTGCCACCTGCCTCGGCATTTTTTATTTGAAATCCTCTCAAAGGCACATAAACTAGTTTTAGTGCTGAACAACCGTGAAGCCTAGATATTAAAATAATGAAAAATGCTAAGAACTTGTGTGATTGTACAGTTGATCTGTGAGTATATCTACATTAAAAGAAAACACAACCCAGGCCAAATAATGGGTGTGGGTTTTTTTTTTTCTCTTTCTGAAGGAACACTGCTAAATTCATAACCTTACTTTGTAGGTTTAAGTCAGCATCCACTTGATAAACATGACTAGTCTCAACTAATTAACAGCAGAACATTTCTCTTGCCAGTTTCACAAGTTTAATATAGTTGGTCAGCCAAAACAGCCACTTTTTGTACCAGTCCCAGCCCTGCCTCTTAGAAGCCACCGATCTTTGAGAATAAAAGGACACCTGAGAATTAATTTTGGCTGAAGGTATTCAGAGGACTCATCTACTATTTTGGTAACTTCTTAATAGTAACAGGTAAACATCTGTAAGCTTAAGAAAAACAACCTTTTCCATGAATAACAGAAAAATGACATTTAGTAATGGTTTAGTAACAACAAAAGGGATGAAATAAACTAGAGTAAGTTGTTCATTTCCCCCAGTACAGTTAATTGTTTACTGCACAGGGGATTTATCCTATGCAGGCAGCACACCGTGCCTCCCATCACAGCCTCACAGCTCTAATTAGTTCCTTCTCAAAGGGCTGTATGCAGGAGTAGCACAACTGCACCCATTCCAGTTACTTTGATCACAACTACCTCCACAGACAGGGAAGAAGAGTGCAGCTCAGACAAAAACCCATCCAGATACTCAAGTCTGTTCATCTCAACAAACCTGTGCCCTGGCCCTCAAAAACACAGAGTTTGGGTGTGATCCAGAGATAGAGAATAAACACAGAATACGGTAGCAAAACACAGGAAGAATCCTATAGATTTAATTTACAATGGAGTCTCTTTAAAAAGTGCAAGTTGGACATAACTCAATTTACTGATAAATAATAACAGTCTATTAACTTTTTCATTAAAGTCTTTAATAGATGTGCAAGAATATAAATGATCTTAGCTGTTATGGATTAGTATACCATCTTCTGCACAATTAAAACTGGTCAGCAAAGATCCCAACTAATTAATTATACAAAACTACAAGAACATATTTACTGTTTTACAATCATTAAATTAGCTAGAATTTTCATTTACTATTTCAAATAAGACAACTATATATCATTACCAGATCCATTTGTAATATATTAGGATTTTTTTTTCCAAACCACACATTTAATTACATCCTTCATTTTCTTTTATTTATAAAACAAGTACTTTATATAAAAAATTTCCCCTTCATCATGAACAGAACATTATTCAAACACTTGCACATGAGCAACCAAACTTGTATCCAGCAAACTATTTGGCAACACAGCAACATTGTAAATGCCTGTAAATTTTTAAATAAAATCAAGTAGTCTTTACAATGTTTGTTTAGCAAATGTGTCTTTCTGTTCTTCCTTCCCTCCCTCCCAAAGTGTTCTGAAACCTAGAAAAAAGGTTAAAAAAAACCCCCAACCCATAGGTTTAATATTTCCATTTTCGAGTCCTATGCCCTGGCGTGTCAAAGGACAGCTTAATCTGTCGTATTTCCATTCAGGAGCTGCCTGCAGTCACTCTGATAACTATTAATTAGTTTATTACCAGGGGAGCTGGAAACACTGAAAGAAAAATTATTCAGGATAAACAAAGGAACTGCCAGGGAGAAGGGAAAAAAAAAGGAGTAATTAAAAAATGTCAGATTACATTTAAAATGTAAATGTTTCCTTTAGTAGATAATAAAGTATCTAAAGTCCAGGCATTTGAGGCAAATACTTCTTACTGGTTAAATTATTTAGTGCTGATTAAAACACATTTTGCTTAATATGAAAAGCTACAGTCCAACGGAGAGAAACCCACAACTTAAATCTGAATGGGATTAATATAACTAACTAACCACAGGTCTGCATAATTGTGGCTAATGAGGGGATACACCGTGTAGATTGTTAATCAATGATTAATTGAAAGTTTTAAACAATGTTTTGGCAGTCTCGTCCTAGCACCTCATGACTTGGATGTGAATCCGAAAGATGTCATGTTCAGCACCTAATGCAATGCTGTACCCTGAGAAAACCATATGTTAATGTAAAGAAAGTGAAAGCGTTGCAATTTATCCTGCATTTTACACCAAATCAGGTGAGATGTCATGGCACAGGGTTTCTCCTTTTTTCCTTCCCGCATGATTTCCGCCCTCCCTCCCCATCCCACCCCCAATTTCTACAGCCCCCCCCAGTAGAGTTCAACCAAAATCCAGCCAAGGGCCCCTGCCTGTGGTGCTGTGGGGGCCGGAGGTGGGGGGTCTCTGCCCAGGCAGCTGAAGGGGCAGTAGCAACGCAATGACTCATCCTCAAATGCAGCCACAGGAGCTGTCCCCAGCTGGGAAGTTGTGTTTGCGACGTTACACACACCCTTCCCCGGCCCCGACACCCCCCTCCCACCCCCCTTTCCATGAGAAGGGATTTGATAGTTATCGTGCGCTTTATCCTATTTCTTAGGTATTTCATTTTTCTTCCATGAAAAAAAGTTTACTACTTTGATGCAAATCATTTTACCAAAACATCCCATTCTCTTATGTAGAATGATTAGTTATTAATACACACTGAGTAATTGTAAGCAGACAGTTTATCATAAGTAGGAGGTGTGCTTTATCAGGAAACTGTATTTTATATCATGGTTATTCTAGATTCGCTATTTAAACTTTAAGGCTATGCTTTATTATGCTTTTGCTCTATTTCTGAATATTTGTATTGTTGATAAAAATACTTTTCAAAAATCTAATATACAACACAACATCACTGTAGGTGTAGGCACTGCTTAAGTATATTCAGAAATCCTCTGTGTGCAAATTTAGTTTTCTTCAATCTATACATTTTGGTAAATTTGGAGTTTAAAACAACAGATTTCGAAATTGATACTGTAAATTCTAATTTGGAATTAATATTGCTGAGTCACTCTGCATTCCAAATTCTATAAAGATGCAAACGAACATTAGGCTGCAGCTCTGAACTGTACGTTTCGTATGCAAATGGTTACTTAATATTAACAAGCAGAACTTACCAGGTTTAAGAATGTTCCAAATATGTAATAATTCTTCAATGTAGTTTGTCCATTTAGGCACTTAAATCTTGTACCCAAATTTATGTTTTGATTGCTAATAAAACACAACTCCTTTTAAATATATCTGAGACATTTAGACAGGTACCACTTGTGAAAAAAGGCATCAAAAATAAGCTTCAACACCACCGTAATATATTTTATTCTTCAGGATGTTACACTGTAATATTCTTCAATTGGTAGCTCATTGCATCAAATGTTTGTAGAAAGTGTGTAGTTCTCAAAGTCGTTCAGAGTCTCCTTTTCCAGGGATGCAATGAACGTTTCAATCCTTCATGAAACAGGCACAAAATGCAAATTCCTTCATTAATGAAGCCAGTTGTGTCAGTGCCCAGAACTTACGAATCACTAAGTGGCAGAAGACACCCACCAAAATCATTATTTCTCTTCTTTGATTTTCAGCAGCAATTTTTTTTTTTTTAAATCATTGGTCTCCATCCAAAATCTTACAGTTCCCCAGCCTCGCATGCATATACTGTAGTTAAGGGTAAATTTAAAGGTCATTCACATTGTCCACAACGAAGATGTCATTCCTTCATACTGTTTCTTCTGTTGACAGCAACAATGGGTTAATGTATTCAAATCCTTCAAATTCTGACTGATCTATCCGCTTTATTATATCTCTGAAACACAAAGAGAAACTTTGCTTTAGTTTTATCAATTGCACATACTATTTTTGTTGCTGCATTTATTCTTCAAATAATAACAAAATTCCTTGCAGAAATGTATGTGTATGAAGTTGTACAGAAGCAACAACGGGAAAAAGATAAGTCTCTGAACATACAAATCCTTAACACTAATGTTTTATCCCAATATCTAAACCAATATGACTGGAAATTTTGAAATAACTGGTAAGAAGTTTCTTGTGCCCTTCTAGTTCCACAACATGCTTACTTAGAGGCCCCAAAAAGCAGCATATAATAAATGACAGATATTTTGTAATAGCAATTTACAAATAATACATATTTTGCTGTCAGAAAGGGCTGCTGATGATATATGTAAAAAAAACCCAGCCCATACTCATCGTCCGGGGTTAGCTGCACGGGTTCGCTGGTGAACTGTGTGTCGAAGTTATCCAGACCATAGTCATCTGTGATCTGAGGTTGAAAGGGAGGGGTTGTTTGCTTCTTTTCCAGCTAAGGAGAAAAAATAGTGGGAGAAGGGAAAAATTAAAATATCAAATATTGATATTAATCCCCTAAGGACAACATAGATGAGCTCTAGAACTGAAAAGAGGGATCTTCACCACCACAGCCTGCAGATTCTCTTAAAGTTCTGCAGCTCCTTCATACTCCTTAGCCGTATCCAACTGACACTGAACGTTTTCAATCTCATTAATCACCTTGTGAGGACGGTTCTCCAGCTACAGGGAATGCATTTCCCCTCTCACTTCAGAAATTCAGCTACATTCAGCAGAGGCCTCTGTGCCTCTCCTCACCAGTAACAGCAATGGACTGGAGCCATCGACTCCGTGTGTCATTCACGTGTGCTCTCCCCAAACATGCCAAGTGAAACGGGCAAATTTTACATCTCCCAGAAAAATCCTTTCACTACCATCTGACATAAGATTTTTCTTAATCTTGCTGGTCATTCTGATGGACTGTATATAAACTGTTGTCACTTTCAAGGTAAAAATCACTCAAAACGTAAACAGTAGGTTTTTCTGACTTAAAACAGAAGTTTATACAAACTGTATTGGCTCCAAAATTCTAAATTTGATATATTTTACAGGTCAGTTTCACAGGAAGAAAGAGAAAGCCCCTGTGTGTTCCAAAACAATACTAACAATAAAAGCCAAACTTTCCACAAATGTTCACAGGAAAAAAAGAGAAGGCCCCTGTGTGTTCCAAAACAATACTAACAATAAAAGCCAAACTTTCCACAAATAACAAGATTGCATACTCAAACCAGAAATAAGTTACTATAGTAACATTTTCTGTAATAATTAAGAGAAGAACTCTACAAATTCAGCCTCATTAAATGCCATTGGAGAGAAATGTCAAAATACCTCAGTGATATACATTACAGGCATCAGACACCAATGTAATTAGTGCTCTGCATTTAAAAATAGCAGTCCATAAATAATTCAGCCATTTAAGTTTTCTCTAACTCGGCAGATTACACTCAGGACTCAAAAAATCCCCCCAGAGATGCTTATTTGCTGCAATAGGAGAGTCACCCCAACGGAGTTACTTTTCTTCCTGAGGAACAGCATTTGTGTGTGATTCAAGGAGATTTATCACGGGTCACAAGGAAAAAAAAACTGCAACTTAGATCTTAAGACTCAGATTTCGAGTTTAACATTCTATAGAGCTGTAAAGGACGTAAGGCTGTAAAAAAGCCCCTGCTATTTAGGAATGAAGGAGTACAAGTACAAGTAGGGGAAAAGCTACTGGTTATATTTAGCAGGAAGGGAAATTTAGGGCAGATTAACTGCCAGTTTATACGGCGTAAGTAACTTACTTGTATTAACCTTTAACCCAAAGGTCTTACCACCACGGCAGTGGAGGCAAAACTCTGTGATGCAGTCAAACTGGCAGTAGCAGAGACACTAACATTCTAATTCTAAAAGTTATATTCAGTTAAAAAAAAAAGCCAAAGCTACAATCTCCATAATCTGACTTAAAAGCAACAGGTAAGCATCACGTAAATGAGTGTAGTTACCACTGCCCAAGATGAGTTACTTGTGTTACCAACAGGGGCAGGAAACCCAGTTTCAGGCCAGAACATCTCATTATCCTCAGCACAGAGTAACAAAAAAGGGGATCAATCACCAAACAAAAATAATCAGGCATTCCAGGCTTAAGACAAGAGCACGATGGGTACAAATGGAGGCGTGAGGAGATCAGGAAACCGTAACAGGGTAGTGAGTGTCTGTACATCACCAGCCCGTCAGCTCCCGGGGCTCAGAAAGCCTCACCAAAGGAAGCTGTAGGGAAGACAAAGTGAGCTCCTCCCAACCAAGCGCAGCAGGATGGAAGAAACCAGCAAAATGAATATTTCAGAATGGAAGTGGGGTGGTGAGATTGTCACTGTGAGTCAGTTGCAGTAACATTGCAACAGCAAGGCATCCAACGAGACGTTAGACACGAGGCTGCCTCTTTTCTGTTAGAATCAGTAAAGCATAAAAGCACTCGAAATAAACCACATGGGGAACACGCAGTCTTTATGGTGAGAAAATGAGTGAAAACAATGCGTTTTTACAGCTCTAGGAAAAACCTTTCTGCTCCTGCACACAGCTAACAGTAGTCACGGCTTTGGGGTTCATTTTTCAGTATATAATGGATAAGTACTGTAAAACCAGGCACTGGGATAAGAATAGACTTCATGTACTGAAATAATCACAGAAAGGTTGTCTTGGTACTTCCCCAACTGCTGCCCAGCCACCCTGGATGCAGAGCGAGTAATTGAGAATGTTCTTGGCTCTGCCACAAACACCTCCTATGACTAACACTAGGAAAAAAAAACCTTTATGGTATATGTGCTCACTTTACCATTATTTCTTTTTCCATTTAACTCAAGCCTCATACAGAAAAACACCCAACTTCAGTCAGCATTAGACTCTTGTTCCCTTGCGTTTCAACTTGAAAAGATTTGGAAAAGCTTTTAAGTCAAAATCTTTTCTACTCATCACCTGCATTTCAAAGAAAATTTGAATGATTAAAAAACCTTTCCATATATTTTTTTATTGTCTCCCAAATATATTTCCCAACGCTCTCATTAGACATTTAGCTTAAAAGGTATCCGACATGTCAGATCCTCCTGAACAGCACTGTCCTAATGGTATCAAGGCAGAGCAGACAACCACCTAAATATTGCCATTATTTTTTAAACAGATATTTTGTAAGTACTGTAAAACATGGGCTCCTTGTGCAGTGAACAAGGTCTTCTCTGCAGAACGTGACCAGGGAAGCTCTGAAGGGGGGGCCTCCAGGCTCAGACTCTCCTCACGCTGCTGTCTCTCCTCTGACCCTCTCCCATGTTGTTACAGGCACCGCTCCCGCCTGTCGCCACGCTCCCTGCACGCTCCCTACCCCCAAGATAATATTATGGGCACATTTTTTCACTCTTCAACTAGGTATTATAAAAAATAACGTAATGCTGACAAAGCAGGATTCCTGACTTAATTGTTTTATTGCTCGAGTGTCAGTAAACACAACAGCGTCGTCTCTGTGATGGTTTTCTAGGATGAAGACAGAAGTAGGCACAATTGCCAAGTAACAGAAGCGTTTAAAAACCCTACAATTTCAATAAAATTTTATGCCTCCAAAAGCACTGAAATGCAGGCGATGTACTCCGCTGGGAGCTGAAAACTTCCCTCACGCCAGCAGTAATAAACAAAACCTGAAAATAACAATCAGAGAACGGTTTTAAATAACCACGCTGCTTTCGAGCCTCATCCTTAAAAAAAGGACCTGATCCTACTCACGCCTACTCCTTACTAAACCCCCTCACCTGCCTGAATAATCCTCCTCATTTCAAAAATTATATAATTTGTAAATTCAGGGTTTGGGGGTTTTTTGTAGTCTATGAAGGCTTCCTGTGTCTGAAGCACCTCACCTTCCATGGGTGTATCTGAACTGGTTTCACGACCCTTTAACTGAGCCCACGGGCTGGTTCATCACCTCCTCACCCCGGCCAAGGCAGAGAAATGAAGTTCTGGAAATGCACTCCCAGAGCCTGCCCATGCTCCCCCACGCTGCCTTTTCCATGGAGCTTGAAATATTTACTAATAGGACTATATGAAGTGACCATCAAGAATGGTTTAATATGGTCTTTTTAAGATGTTCTCTAAAATTCATGTGTTTCAAAATCTATCCTCACAAGTCATAACCGTTCCTACAGTTCGGAAGCAAGCCAGATTTTTTTTGGTCATGAAATAAAAGTTTGTTTTCATGATGTTTTGTCACTTGGCGAAAGCAAAATAGCTTTCACGTTTCTGGAACTGCATTTTGCTGCTTTTCATGGGGTTGTTCCACACACACACAATTAATAAACCACAGGAGTCTGTTCCTTTTGAACCCGTATGAAGAGAAGTAACGGTCTGTACCAGGTCCCAGTCTATGCTGCGGAAAAACGTGTGAGACTTGATATCGGCGAATCCCGTCTGGGGCTGACACCCGAGCCTTTCCTTGGGATCCTGCAGGACACACACAAACCCTCGTTACACACCCGGAGCCAGTCACAGTCGGTGACCATCAGAAACCCCCCCTGCACACCCCATGGCCACCCACGCTGCCACTCAGCCCCACAGTGTGGCTATCCCGGGATTTTCCTCCTTTTTTCATTGAGTTTGCTTGAAATTTCATTTTAAAATATTTTGCAGCTTCTTAGAATTAAAAAAAATAATATCTGGATTTATCTAGTAATGTATAATTGATATCCTTTTTTCCATTAAAAATTATAATGGTTCTACCGATTATAGCTTCTTAGAATTAAAAAAATAATATCTAGATTTATTTAGTAATGTATAATTGATATCCTTTTCTCCATTAAAAATTATAATGGTTCTACCGATTCAATCAGCTTAATTAAATAAGTAGTAACTGTTACAGAGAAGAGTTGATAAATGAGCCAACAGTTATTTTTGTCCATTAGGTGCAGGCTTGGAAATCAAGCCTGTGCTGTGGAATTCCCCCGGTAAATTAGCAACTAAGAAGTGGGTTTTTTTAACATAGAGGATACCAAGGTTTTATAGATTTTCTTAATAGTAAGCAGATTAACTTCTTAACTGTATTGCTTTCAACAGGAAGCTCTGACTTCCAGATCTTAGATGCTAAAAATAAGAGACTGTCACTTACCTTGTTTAAAAATCCTTTTAACACATGGGAAGCCTTGACAGACAGAAACCTTGGAATCCGGATGGGCTTCTCAAGAATAACTGTTACAGGTTAAAAACAGCAATATTGGGTTTTGGTGTGTGGCACTGACCACGATTTCAACACACTGTGTTACTTGAACACGTTACCATTTGGGAAATGGGAAGACACAGTAAGTATTTAAAGTAATGCAAAGGAGGAGCTGCAGTAATTCACTAATTACACTGACACTTCAAGATGTTCTAAAACAAATGTTGGCTGCGTTATCTTTTTCTATTGTGAGGAGTACAAACAGGGAATAAATAAAACTTTTGCTGTGTCCTCAGTATATGGAAAAGTGTGATTTTAAACAGGATTTGATTAAATATAAGGCTTGTTGGGACAACAGGGACAGATTTCATTCCCAACAGCTGTGAGCAGTTCACAGACAACTCTGCCCATCAGGGACCGGGCAGCTCCGCAGTTCCCCAAACTGGTGCAGAGTTTTGCTGTAATAAATATGGCAAGTGGTGCTACTTCTCTTTAGAAAAATCCACACTATTCCCAAAAGGTAAAACTGTTAAAAAAGTTATATTCATTTCATCAGAAGTAAAAAGAAAATAGATTATCTGGAGCAAAACAACAGGTTGAACAGACTGCCAGTCAAGACAGACCCTCCTGTGCTCTCATACAGAGTTTCACAGTTAATTCTTGGCCTGGCGACTGCCTTGTAACAAACAGACCATTCCATCCAGTTTCTGACTTAATTTTGAACTGTGGACATTTTAAAACAGTATTTGATGGTCTGAAGAAGGCTTCCTATTTGCAGACCATTTTATCTGACTTCACCAAAATAAACTCCCAGGATGAAGAACAAGAAATATCCCTTCTCTACAGGCAGCTGTGGGGTAACAACGGAAAAGGAAAACCCAACTCTTCCACTGGAACTGCTGAGTTTTGTTGTTTCTCCCCCAAGAAAGAAAAGAAAAATCCAGATGACTGTACCTTGGAAGAGGTAATCTTCAGTGTTCATGTCTGGATTGTCAGTGATTATATCGAAGGGAGACCTTCCCGCCATCATTTCAAACATCAACACACCCAGCGCCCACCAGTCCACGCTGAACCCTAAAGGAGTTGCAGAGCAGATTTTCAGCCAGGATTTCTTGAATTTAGGTGTGTTCTCTCCTATAAATGAGCATTAATGGCCTGGTTCTACAAAGTATTGAAACTCTCTACTTTCACTAAAGCCACAGACAAGACTTTCACTGTCACTGGGTGAGATCTGAAGTGGGATTTCAAAGGTCACCCGTGGAGGAGCTCGTTGGCATCTGCCAGGCAGCACTGCTTCGATGAGCATTCCCTGTATTTAAGCTGAAAATATTCAGATTATCTTTTTTTTTTTTTTTAAAGCTGGCTATTACAGTATCTTCTAACTAAATGGCAGGTTCAACCTATGGATCAGGTCAGTTCACAAACAACACGGGTTAAAAAGACTGTTAGACTTTTGCCTTCTGCATCAGCAAAGCTCGTTTATAGCGTTCTACAGCCTGGGCTGGAGGAGAGCAGTAGCAGTGGGATGTCAAATTCTTCAAGGAATGGACTTGGTTTTACCAAAGTATCATTTTATAGTTATTTTTCAGGGAAAGCATGATTTAAAAGAAGCTGAAATGAGTGACAGTGAAAATCTAAAAATAACTGCATTTGAACCAACATAGAACAACAAGAACTTTGCTTTGTGATTTATTATAACTACAAATTGTTTATCCATGGCTTACCATACTCTTCTCCTCTGAGGATCTCTGGTGCAATATAATTTGGTGTCCCGCAGAAAGTGCTTGTAGTGTCACCAGGGCCCAAACCTTCCTGCGTGCATAAATCATTTCATAAATTAAAAACTGACCTCCTTTTCTGGGAATTTCCCTTAATTAAACCTATAAAGCTGAGTTACTTAGAGAGTCTAAAGACCTTCCTTTAAAAAAAGGCAACGCTACAGCAAAATAAATACTCAGAGTGCTCAAAGCTGGCTCCTGACGTCACAGCGTCTCTTCCGCAAATTAATTGACTGGAACTGAGTCACGAGACATTTGTACCAACATTTTGCTCACTGTTTACATTTAAACAAATTTCTTCCACAACCAAATTCCGGGCTCAGTAACACGAGCATTAAGATAAGGAAATCAGTTTTCTCTTAATACCCCTGGGTGCAGCAGCTGATTCAAAAGCCCGGCCAGAGCCGCGGTACCGAGGGGCAGGGACACAAGGAAGGGCAGAAATATCCTACCTTGCACATGCCATAATCCGTTAATTTGATATGACCCTCTGCATCTAAAAGAACATTGTCTAGTTTTAAATCTCTGTAGATTATGCCTCTTTCGTGTAGGAAGTTTAGAGCAATACAAATTTCAGCAGCATAAAACCTGAAATGAAAAAGGAGGACATTCTTATTAGCATTAAGATTGTACAAAAGCTACTGCAATGAGAAATATCTGTTCTTAAAACGTTGCTTTACAATCAGCTGTTCTCTATCAACAGCAGAACACAAAGGAGCTACAGTTATTCATAAAAGCACTGATCTCATATAGTGTAAAACTATTCCTTAAATTAAATATGAGAAATTTTTTTCATTCTACTAAGAAAACATTTATTCTTTATTCTACAGATTTTTTTTCCTGCAAATTCCAAGTACGACAGAGAAGATTTGTATTTTCAGCTTATTAAGAGCTATGTCTTCTCTGTATTAATTCATTGTAAGATGAAAATAAGTGGAATAGTTACATCTTCTGTCTACAGATCGAGGAAGCATTACCGAAATACGAAGCAATAAACAAAAGCAAATAGGAATAACTGTTACTACTAATCAAACACTTGCTTTCTTAAAAAAAAACAACAACACACAAAACATATCCTTCAAAATTAAAATTACCATTTCTTCCCAGGGCAGTACATTCCAAACCTAAGAATCAACTTTTCATTCTTTCTTTGCTGTTCATATTCTTTTATGGAGTGAAGTTTAGAAAGCATTTCATGCAGCATTAAACAACTACGACACGACCCCCCCATAACTGTGTCAGGGAAATACCTGGCATGTTCTTCAGGCAGCTTCCTTTGCCGTTGCATATGAAACATGAGGTCTCCCCCGTTTACATACTCTATGACAAGAAACAATCTGAAAGTATATAATACAATTAATGCATTCCAGGGAAACTCTCAAGCAGCAAAAACTATTCTTATCCTTCCAATCTGAGCCGTTTTCATTCCGCTCTTGAATTAGATTTCTTGATTTCTTATAGTTACAGAAACTTTTAAGAGAAAAAAGGGGGTATGTACTTGATCCATGTTAAGTAGGATCCCAGAGCAAAGGCACCGGAGAGGCAGCGGCACAGAACAGGCCTCTGCCCTGAGACCTGCACAACTATTGCAACAGCCCAGAACAGCATTTGCCCAAAGTAACGCGGTGCTCGCTCGGCCACAGATGTAAAAAAAAAACCCATAGTGTATAATGATCTATAGACTTTTCAAAAAGTAACTTAGAAATAATAGCAAAACCACAGAAGTGTGCCAAAAGATGACATATGGGGAAAATGAGAGTTCATCCAAAAAAGGTAAAATTGCCATTCATTTGAAAAAAAGACAAAATAACAAGAACAGAGCTACATGACTACCTCCTGTTCTATGATGTTGATTCTTCTGACTTTTCTGGAATAAAATTGCCCAGTATAAAACCTTCCCAGAGAGCGCATGCTCTGAATAACACCACCTCATGGACTGGGAAAAGCCTGCCTAGAACAACACTGATTATTTAAGATAATGGTTTTAAGACTAAAAGATACTTTAAAAGATACATCAAGTTGAATTGAAACCCTTCTTGTTTAAGGGTAATCCATCAGGAATCTGGCACAGATTTCCCTGATGTAATAATTATTAAATTGTTACTCTGCCTAAGTATTGTTCCTTTTTAATAGCAAAGCTGTGGCACCAAACCAGCTCTGCAGCTGAAATGGAGTTTATACCCATTTAACTCAGCAAGGTCTCTGCATGGACAAAACCCAAAACTTCTCATTTGTATTTTTGATCCAGTTTTGCCATTAAAAGGTCACCATCTTTTAAAAATTACTTCACCGTTAACAATAATTACTGAGTATCTGGCAATATTCCAGAGATCAATAGGTTTTGTCAGATTTATGACAGTAATTAAATATATAACTTCAAAGCTTGCTGTTTGTGATGGTTCAGTTCCTGAAATGCTCAAACACATCTATTGAGAGCAAGATGAGATAAGACTCACTAAGAAGGATGTAACCCAAATATACTTCCAAAAAAATAATATGTTTTTATCTGAATAGAATATGACACAATCATCTTTTCCAACTGAAGTGACATGATCTAAAATATTATTAATATACACATACAAAACTATTTCTGTTAAAGCCTATGATCATCACTGAACTCTTCCTGATACACTGTTAAGAAAAATACTGTCGTTCCTAAAAGGAAAAAGTGTTCTGTTTTATTTGTATAAATCGACTGAAACTAAGGAATTTGAGGACTGAGAAGCTCAATTCACCTGTCCATTATTTCTCAGAGACGAAAACTAAATTTGGAGAGGCACCAGGACAGGGAATGAAATCCCACTCTCCCTTGACTTTGCCAAGCCCTTTCTCTGTAGAAAAATGTGAAATAAAAGAAAGTGGACCCCGTTCTGTCCCTCTCTACACAGAATAGTCACTGAAGGGAAGATGTGGGCACAAGAAGGCTGCAGCATCGAGGCTTGTTAGTTCCTCTGTAGAAGAAGGTTTCGAAACAGTCTTCTCAAAACAAACCAGAGAAAAGCCAGTAGGGAAAGAAATGTAGGTGGAAATCAGCCTTATAAAGAGAATTCTATAAGGGTTTGCAGGAAAGGTTCATCCTTGGGAAAATATGAGCCCAGCAACGCTGCCAAGGTCAGAGAGACCTCCGGGGGAGAGCTACGAAGGCCGCGGCTGCCCCGGGAGGCACAACTTCTTTATACACCTCATTTTCCAGGAGGTGAAAATTCATTTCCATATATTCACACACTGGAAAACATTCCATGTGGAAAACACATGTTCCAGTCCCTCAAACCATTCTAATGGGTAACAATTAAAGATGATTTTTCCCCCCCCTTTGAAAAGGATTCTTCATTTGAAAAATTTTTCCCCTTTGAAAAGGATTCTTCATTTGAAAAACTTAAGTTAAAAATTTAAAAGGTAAAAATTATTGGACACAACCCTGCAAGATTTTCAGAGGCCTCCCTGCAAGAATATAAACACTACACTAAAATTAAATAAGCAATAAATAGTTAACGATGCCATGAGCGTTTTATTACAGCATCTCTGATATTTTTTTGCTTCCAACTTTCCTACCCCATTTAGAAGCTTCAGCACCATTCAGAACTTGCAATTTAGAGTTGTTTGTGTCAAGTCACATCCAAGCCCATGTGTGAACACTGGTGGGCCTTGCTGGTTTTAGAAGGATTGACTCCAACACCAATGGTTTTGCAGGGTGGAGGTTTCAGATTGTTGCCATCCCCAGCAGACCCCTGTCTGGCAAATGTGGGCAAGCCCAAGGACGTAATTTATTACAATAATAAAGAGCATCACTAGTATCTGAAACAATATGAGCAGCTACATTTAGCATCAAATATCTCTTAAATACATATTTATTTTATCTTAAAAATGTATTTAAGAGAAAGAACATGGTCCTTTGGAACTTTCTATAAGTGCACTTACAGACAAACTACTCCTGTCACAACTTGTTTTCTTTGGGCCAGTTCTCACAATCTGATGTGGATGGATTTATTCATGGCTATACCCACGGCAAATGGCTGGCCTTACACACATAAAACTACAGTTTCACTGCAAGGAGAGGAGGATATATATTCTGATGACATACATCTAGCACTAGGCATTATGAAAGTGTGACAGAAAACAGGTGCCTGTGGAAATAAAAAAAAGCCCCAACAAATCACAGAACCTCCCCACACCCAAATTCCCCAGTAACGTATATATAAGCATAGGCATAAAAGTTCTCTTTGATTTTCTTCACGTTCCAGTTGCAAAGTAAGAAGCAAATCATCCACTTTGGATTGTGCCCACAGTAACTAGTATTGCAAAGTAGCCAAGGGTTTATTAAGCACTTTTTCAAATGAAGTCACCTGCTTCATCAATATGTGCTAAGGGCTCATAAGCCCCATATGTAAAAAATACTTTATATACATAGAATCATGTAGGTTTTTAAGTTATTATGAAAAACTATTTTTACTTCACAGCCCGAGAAGTACAGTTTGGCCCCCTGAGAACTGATTCAGCCTCTTCAGGAGAGCTGGGGATTATAACCTGTCTCTGTTTTACCCTTATTTTTACTTCACAGCCTGAGAACAGAGAAGTACAGTTTGGCCCCCTGAGAAGTGATTCAGCCTCTTCAGGAGAACTGGGGATTATAACCTGTCTCTGTTTTACCCTGCTCCTGGAGCCACGGGGCCTGTGCTTGGGAACACAGTGCACAGCTCCTCCTCCTCCTCATCCACCTTCTCCCTTGGGATCCAGACCTGGAATCCCTGCCTTTTCCCCCACACCAGGCTGGTGAGAGGTTGCCCCAGGAGAACCACATCCCTGACCACCCTAACACCTCCAAAAACTACCCACTGTGAGGGCAGCAGTGATGTTTGTGATGTTTGCTTTATGAGAAGCAGTTAGTACAATCATCAAGATTTTCAAAACAAAATAATTTCAGATCTTTCTTACCGACTTGTTGTTTGAAAGCATGAATGTAAACCAACTAGGAATGGGTTACTGGATGCCTGTTCAAACACATGTTTCTCTGTCTGTACCCAATCAATATCCTGCAATAGAGTAATTGAACAATCAGAACTCCTGCTGGATAACCACTGTGGGTATTCCCAGAAAAAAAAAAACTGAACAACTCTGCTCCCTTACATTTACTGGCATTGTTACATATGTTCTGCAGAAAAACAACCCCCCCCTAAAATCTGGAGGAAGCCATAAAACATTTTAATTCAATTATATATTCAGAAGTTTCTTAACCATTTAAAAACATCTGCACAAAATTTAAGCCGTTTAAAAATATCATACATCTGCAATATTTGATACACTGCTCATACTGCTTCATGGAAATAAATTAAATTACTGTAGATAAATGACCCTAAGGCTGCTGAAGCAACTCATGCCAGTAACACAGGCAATGTGAATCTCCAGTTTTTAAAAGATTCAAATACACTGAACATCATTTTCTCATCTGAAACACAAAATGAATTCAATGAAACTACCAAAATCTGAGTAGTTTGTCCAATCAAAACAATTCTTAAAAGTATTGCAGACTTTGAGGAGCACCTGAACACAAAATCTAACATCTTGGAAGGGTACACCTGGGTCCAAACATGAGCCAAAAATCCCATTTTGAATAAAACAAACACATCCACTTCCTTGTTCTTAGCAAATGAGCTTCCTTAGAGAGTCTTCACACAAACCCTTCACTATTGCTTGTGTACCTATTGCTTGTATTGTACCACTGCACTACTCTCAACAAGATTAAACTTGGAAAAGTGTCATAGCAGAAGCCCAGGTACTTGATTGGCTTCAATCCATTTAGAAAAGAATCTTTCCTTCTCTCCTGCACCAACCATTACCTGGAAAGCACTGTCTGATTTAAACATACCGATACTTGCTTTGTAATTCATTTTCTTTCTCCATGAAACACTTACTGGGTAAAATCTCCCTTAGAGTATCTCATGCATTCACAGAATTCAGTGAATTTCCTATCAATTCCCAAAATTCCATTATACAGCCTATCTTACAGAGAAGAAAACCCAATTAGCTCAATCTTCTGTGTGATTCTTCGTGAGAGCCACTACTCAAGACAGACTTTTCTCATCTACCTCTGATTCTCAGGAATAACTGCATAACTCATTAAATAATACTCTTATTTAGCTTCTACCTTCTTGGAAAAGGACATGCTAAAAAGGAAACACTAAATAAACCACACAACAGTCCAATCTTTGGTCATAAAAAGAACCATCAAATTAATGAGCAAGCCAAAGGAGTTTAGAAGAACTTTACAAGTTCAGTCTCCTAACCCCAGCCTCTGGGATAACGACAAAAAGGGCAGCCAGAGAAACTGATTGGAACTACCAACACAAATAGTACTTAAAACAATCCATTTTGGGTTTTTTCCAACATCCTACTTTCAAGAAATCCAGTCTTCCTAACAGCATAAAATCAATTCAACACCATCAGCTTAAAAACTGCATTCTATCTGAAAAGTTCACTGTCTATTGTAAGAATAGCTCTCTGAGCAATTCCCTATATGGTGAGGCTGATTGTCCACCTCCTTTTTTATTTTATTTGACTAATTCCACCCACGAGGATGACACAGCACTTCTTCACTCTTCAGATTCTGCATGGTGTCATCCTGTAGGTACCCTGTCACACACACAGCCACTCCCACGAGTGTCACACTGCAGTGTCCCACTCCAGCCTGACATCACTTCTTGTCCTTCCCTGGGGTCTCCCTGCTGTTTTCTCAGGGCTGTGATCCGACCACACGACTCCCATTTACCCCAATCCCTGTCCCAGTACTTAACACAGCAGGTTCCAGTCTAATGGCAGTGTAGGTGGTTCAGATCTGCCTGCCTTGCTTGCTGTGATTGATTCATCACATGTACCAAAAAAAAAAAAATAGAATGGATACAAAAATCTATACTCTTCAAGAAGAACGAATTTTATAAGAAAAACACAAAGGGTTGGGTGGAGGTTTTTTTTTTCCTTTTTCTTTTCCTCCCCCTCTGCCCCCAAACTTGTGTATTTGAGATCCTGTATTAAAAAAAAAAAAAAACAAACAGGATTTTGAAAATAATTGAGAAATGCAGCACTGATTTCTGTGGCAGATTTTTTTTTTTTACAAGCCAGTTAAACCATAGTGACCCTAAACGATAGTAGAATATTTTTTTAAACCCATGGAAAAATATTCCAGAGAACTGTGTCACTCACAGATGCTCTCTATAATCGTGAACACAGTTCCAGCTCCTATTCTTAAATATAGACAATACTTTGCACCTCCATTAATTTGCCTTGGAAAACATGTTTGTTTTCTTTCCAAATTAGGTGCCCACATTCCACCCTATTTATCTCACAGACTAGCACAGCCAGGTTGGAATATTTTTCACGTGCATTCTACTAAGACTTATTCATAATTGTTAATTGTTATTAAAGTAAGGGACGTTCCTCTCAGATTTAATCTTGGTGCTTCATGCAGACAGTTGATGACACATGAGTTCAAACGTCAGTAAAACTATTACAGAAATGTTGGCTAAAACCTTAGCTGCTTTCTTAGTTAAATGGTTTTTGTTAAGTTTTTAGAATATGTAACAGAATACAATTAACATGGACTTTTACCTCATCATCGTGGACCAATTCTTTCTTCACTACCTTCATAGCATATATTTGATCATTCTTTTTTAACCGTACTAAAAGAACTTTGGCATAACTTCCACGGCCGATAACTCTGATTAAATCAAAGTCCTGCACTGTCTGATTTAAACATACCGATACTTGCTTTGTAATTCATTTTCTTTCTCCATGAAACACTTACTGGGTAAAATCTCCCTTAGAGTATCTCATGCATTCACAGAATTCAGTGAATTTCCTATCAATTCCCAAAATTCCATTATACAGCCTATCTTACAGAGAAGAAAACCCAATTAGCTCAATCTTCTGTGTGATTCTTCGTGAGAGCCACTACTCAAGACAGACTTTTCTCATCTACCTCTGATTCTCAGGAATAACTGCATAACTCATTAAATAATACTCTTATTTAGCTTCTACCTTCTTGGAAAAGGACATGCTAAAAAGGAAACACTAAATAAACCACACAACAGTCCAATCTTTGGTCATAAAAAGAACCATCAAATTAATGAGCAAGCCAAAGGAGTTTAGAAGAACTTTACAAGTTCAGTCTCCTAACCCCAGCCTCTGGGATAACGACAAAAAGGGCAGCCAGAGAAACTGATTGGAACTACCAACACAAATAGTACTTAAAACAATCCATTTTGGGTTTTTTCCAACATCCTACTTTCAAGAAATCCAGTCTTCCTAACAGCATAAAATCAATTCAACACCATCAGCTTAAAAACTGCATTCTATCTGAAAAGCTCCCTGTCTATTGTAAGAACAGCTCTCTGAGCAATTCCCTATATGGCGAGGCTGATTGTCCACCTCCTTTTTTATTTTATTTGACTAATTCCACCCACGAGGATGACACAGCACTTCTTCACTCTTCAGATTCTGCATGGTGTCATCCTGTAGGTACCCTGTCACACACACAGCCACTCCCACGAGTGTCACACTGCAGTGTCCCACTCCAGCCTGACATCACTTCTTGTCCTTCCCTGGGGTCTCCCTGCTGTTTTCTCAGGGCTGTGATCCGACCACACGACTCCCATTTACCCCAATCCCTGTCCCAGTACTTAACACAGCAGGTTCCAGTCTAATGGCAGTGTAGGTGGTTCAGATCTGCCTGCCTTGCTTGCTGTGATTGATTCATCACATGTACCAAAAAAAAAAAAATAGAATGGATACAAAAATCTATACTCTTCAAGAAGAACGAATTTTATAAGAAAAACACAAAGGGTGTGGTGGAGGTTTTTTTTTTTCCTTTTTCTTTTCCTCCCCCTCTGCCCCCAAACTTGTGTATTTGAGATCCTGTATTAAAAAAAAAAAAAAACAAACAGGATTTTGAAAATAATTGAGAAATGCAGCACTGATTTCTGTGGCAGATTTTTTTTTTTTACAAGCCAGTTAAACCATAGTGACCCTAAACGATAGTAGAATATTTTTTTAAACCCATGGAAAAATATTCCAGAGAACTGTGTCACTCACAGATGCTCTCTATAATCGTGAACACAGTTCCAGCTCCTATTCTTAAATATAGACAATACTTTGCACCTCCATTAATTTGCCTTGGAAAACATGTTTGTTTTCTTTCCAAATTAGGTGCCCACATTCCACCCTATTTATCTCACAGACTAGCACAGCCAGGTTGGAATATTTTTCACGTGCATTCTACTAAGACTTATTCATAATTGTTAATTGTTATTAAAGTAAGGGACGTTCCTCTCAGATTTAATCTTGGTGCTTCATGCAGACAGTTGATGACACATGAGTTCAAACGTCAGTAAAACTATTACAGAAATGTTGGCTAAAACCTTAGCTGCTTTCTTAGTTAAATGGTTTTTGTTAAGTTTTTAGAATATGTAACAGAATACAATTAACATGGACTTTTACCTCATCATCGTGGACCAATTCTTTCTTCACTACCTTCATAGCATATATTTGATCATTCTTTTTTAACCGTACTAAAAGAACTTTGGCATAACTTCCACGGCCGATAACTCTGATTAAATCAAAGTCCTGTAGTCCAAGCCCCTGAGAGATCTTAATTCCATCCATTCCATCAATGACTGGTTTGATATCCTGTATAAAAAGAAAGAGGTGACAGAAACAGATGACATCTTCATAACAAGTAACTATAAAAGCAAAGAGGTCTTTAACCATGGACAGGATTGCTGAGTTTGCTGCCTTTGTCACTGGCACAGAGATTGGAATGGCTGATTGTTACATACTTGGTCAGAAAAGTTTGCTCAGTATTGTTTTGCTCTGAAAAAAAATTACTGTGTTTTTCAAGGCAGTAGTTTGTTCAGTTACTCATTTTATATTCCCTACTAGAAACCAGAAGGCAATGCCTTGAAAAATGAAGTTTTATTCCAGTTCTTGAACCACACCGCAAAGGATAATTCTACATGGCCTAAGTGAAGGGCACCTTTCATATTCTGACAAATACTGTAGCACAAATTAATAAAGGCTACCTAAAAAGAAGAGAGATGAGGAAACAATAATTTGCTAATGTATATACCTGTCTTGGTTTCAGTTTAGGCAGCAGCTGTCTGTATCAAGTTCCCTATAGTTTTAATGAATGTTAGTATTTCTAATAGGTGCTCGGGAATGTATGGAAGCAGATGCCAATTTCTCAAATGTGAAAATTTGCAGAAAATACTCCACTATGAAGAATGTTATTTTAAAATTCATTATTTAAAAAGATACGTTTTACCTTGACTGTCTGCTGGAATTAGATGGGAACATGTGAGACAAGATCAAGCAGGTGAACTAGACAAATGTAGCTTGTACTCTGACATTTCATTTTTACCAATATATACAATGCTTTGACATACTTCTGTGGCCTATTTTTATCTGACCTCATACTACTATACTTGTAGACAGATCAGCATTCTGCTGAACTATGGAAAGTACTTATATAAAGAATCTTGATCTAGGATTGACTGCTATTAGAAGAGATTGCTCTGAGCTTAAAGATTCTAGTCAACAAAGCTCCCAGAACGCCACTTCCTCTCCGTAGGATACCTTAAATTATATTAGTAAAGCTCAAAAGCAAGGTGGGAAAATCAGAGCCGCATAATTCAGGCCAGTTGAGCAAACAGCATCTGTCAAAACTTAAACACAAGCAGTATCTACCTGAGTACTAACCAGAACTCAGCAATTCTAGACAGAAATTAAAATTCTCTGCTGTGTTTTAAGTTTATACCCTTCCATCTCTCAATTTGAGATAAAATCTAAAGACACGTGACCGAAAATAAGGCAGTCATTAACCCAAGAGCAGAAGCTACTCAAGTGTGAAATAATGGTAGTGACAAGTATTGTAGTGGAGGTAGAGGAAAAAAAAAGGTGCAGGCTTGTTAAAAGCAGGATATCAAACTAACTGCCAGAGGATGCAGAGTGCAGCCTATTTATTAAATATGCCAGAAGCATTTTTAAAAGAAAAGTCTTGAAAACCTTTAGAATTAAAGTGTATTGAGATTTTTCAAACTGCATTCATGGTGTGCAGAGACTGGGTCAGACCGTCTACTACAAAAGAGCTGAAAAAACTTTAAGTGAATGTTATTCTATTTGTATTTCCACAGCAGCTGCCTATAAATGATTAAGTTATTATATATATGAAATATCTCAGAGCTGGATAGTTAATGTATTATCAGACTGAACCAACTTTCATAATGATTGCCTGGAGAGGCAGCCTGAGGGTGATGAAGGGTGCACATCCATTAGAGAGCAGACAAGACAATGTCAAAGCCACCATTTGTTGCAAGGCCCAATAAAATCAAACCCTTTGCTCAATCACTCTTGTTCCAACATGAATGGAAGGGACGAAAAAAGAGGGAAAAAAAGTCTCTCACAATATGATTGGGATAACAAGAGTGATACACAGAAGACTTCTGAAAAATCCAACAAAAATGCTTGAAAAAAAATTATCAATTTTCAGAAGGAAACCCCAGACTTCTCTTTTAAAAATGTAGCAACAAAAATTTGACAAATGACTAGCTACTTTATAAAAAGTTGTATTATTAAGACCATGTAAACGTGAATTACAAAATTATTTGTAAAATGTACCTCAGAGTCATCTTTAATAGTGTCGTGTTTCCGGTTTGAAGGAATGTAGGGAACTGGAAAAGAAATCAAGTGTGATTATCAAGGCCCTCATTAGAAATAATTTTAAAAAGTGATAAATGGAAAGATGATTTAGTTGTTTTAAATACTATGGGACAGTTGATGAGGTTTTTCCTCTTTGTTCTTGTAATCCCGACAGCAGATCCAAAGGGCAGTGCAGAAACAACCAGCTCTGAGACAGCAAGAAGTTCATCGATGAACCTTGGAGCTCAGAACCGACTCTGACAAAGGCCAGAGCCATTTTGGACCCTGGGTATGATAAATGGGCCCTTAACACAAAACAGGGTAAACCAACAATAACATTAACCGAGAAAGAGTACTCCAAATTGCACAAAATTAAGAAATACCTAAAGTCTGAGATGCCACTGGTATTGGCATCATAGTTTGGATCTGAAGTGCAGGGTTTTTGTTTGTTTTAAAAAGTAGATCTATTGTTGCCAATTGCTGCTTAACTTGACCTTCTGGAATGGTTTCAGATGACGTAAATTTAGGATCAAACTGAACCAGCTGATATGCTTCAGAGGTACATTTACTGTAACTGAGTCCCTAATGAGCATCTAGTCCATGGACTAAACTGGAGCTAATCCAAAGGCAGCTTTAAAAACCCCAACAGGTAGAGTGGAAATAGGGCCTTTAAATGGTGAAATACAGGAATTCTAACTTAACAGAATACTCACTTCCATCAGTTTCTTCTGAAGGGAGGTCAACTTCATCATTTTTATCATCTAACCGAGGTTCCTGGGTAGGCATGACCGAATCCTTGCAAAATACATAAGTTAGAAAAGAAAAAAGCATCAGTTTATGTAGTCCCTTTTAAGTGAGTATGTCTTGCCACATAACCACAATGCAATGAGAACCCACATTTGTATCTTCCAGAACGAAGACTGGATTTTGTAGAAAGTGTTTCTGAATATTAACATTTTATAAGCCTAAATGCTTGAAGACTGGATTTTGTACAAATTTGAATATTAACATTTTATAAGCCTAAATGCTATGTCAACCGTTCCCTGCAACTACAACAAATGTTCAGCTGTCTCCTAAAAGTAAGATTACTGTATTTTATTGCAAAGTTCAAACTTTAATTATATTTAAGACTACTGACTCTGTTCCACATGGAACTGCAACAAAATAAACACCTCAGCATGATGTTTCACACTCCATTTAAAGCACTGGCATATTCCTTTCCTGTTTAAAAACTATGAAGTGTTACTCATTCTGCCCAGGCATTGCACACATTGGTAATGATCACAATACCAAATAATTTTGTAGTATGTTTGGACCCTGGTCTCATTCACATCTCAATCATGGAATCAAATGATTATAGAGATGTGAATAATAAGATGAGCTGCTATGTCAACCGTTCCCTGCAACTACAACAAATGTTCAGCTGTCTCCTAAAAGTAAGATTACTGTATTTTATTGCAAAGTTCAAACTTTAATTATATTTAAGACTACTGACTCTGTTCCACATGGAACTGCAACAAAATAAACACCTCAGCATGATGTTTCACACTCCATTTAAAGCACTGGCATATTCCTTTCCTGTTTAAAAACTATGAAGTGTTACTCATTCTGCCCAGGCATTGCACACATTGGTAATGATCACAATACCAAATAATTTTGTAGTATGTTTGGACCCTGGTCTCATTCACAACTCAATCATAGAATCAAACAATTATAGAGATGTGAATAATAAGATGAGCTGTGTAGGACTATTGCAGCAGGTATGGCAACATGCATTAATAAATTGGCAAAGAAACTAGTAATGTCAAGGCAAGTCACATGCAATCCCAATAAATAAAAACACAGGTTTGAATTTTAAGTTAGAGACAACATGATGCAACAACCAGCAGGATACTGGTTATAGTCTGTGATGAGCATGGGGAAGGGCTAACAAATTCAGGGATACATATTTAAAGGTTTAAAGCCTGGAAAAGACACTAGAATTGCCACTGGAACACATGAGGGGAATGGAGAGGATGAGAACAGCCCTGGAGAAACTGAGATGACACGAACAGGAAAGCAACAAGCCTTTTTGCGAGCAGTAGTGCAAAAACCACACCAGTGCCTTAGTTCTTAAAACACTCCCATAGGCTTAAAGGAACAAACACCAAGACTGTCAGCGACAGCTCTCTACCTATCTGTAAAATACAGTAGCTTTACTGGAAGAAGTCAAACTCAAGCTTGCTCACATTTAACTTATATCACAAGTTTTCTTTTCTCAATTTGTCCCTACTGCTCACAACCCAAAGGCTTGCTCCTCTACAGACATTTCAGAAACTGAAACCCAAATACCACTGAGTATTATAAATCTACAACCATGCACAGCTTTTAACTACTTTGGATGCTCATCTAGAAACAGCAACCCGGGACACAATGAAACACCTTTGCTTCATGCAGAATGCAAACTTACCATATGCTTTTTGCAGGTCAGTGGAACAAGTATATGACAACGCTTATGGACCAACAATTTGCAGTTGATACACTTGTAGCCTTGCCTTCCGAGCCCCCATATCCTTTCACTGCACTGGCCACAATACGCTCTCTGGAAGACAGAACACATTTTATAAATTCAATTATCAGTTCCCATCTGTAGGTGAGTAGTTATCCACCATCAAGAAACCACCCTACAAGACCCCATCCTCCTCACCTCCTAACAGATGGTCAATAATAGTTATTCTAGAATATCCAGGATTTCCCTAATAACTGAAGGTTACACTTCACACTTAAAATTCGGCTAGAGGCAGTTGTTTTTTAATGAATGCTAAGAAAACAACTATCTCCAGCATATGGAACACATTACAGCCTAACACGAGCCAATCATTGCTAGAGAATAAGCATATTCTGAATTTCAGGTTCTGACAGAGGTTACCCAAACAAATCTGACAGGAATTTGTACTACACACTTATGCATAAAAGTACCCAAAATGACTGCTTTGGAGAAGACTGGTACAAAATGTTACAAAAGCCAAGTATGAAGAATGTTCTATACTTGCACCCACATACTTTAACAGTGGTAGAACATAAGGTATGAAGAATGTTCTATACCTGCACCCACATACTTTAACAGTGGTAGAACATCAGTAGAAACTTTGCATAATTAAAACTTTCCTATGGAGTCTGATGTAAAAACCTCTGTATGTTGCGCTATTTAATATCAAAAACATATAGCCTTTTTTATACATGCAATAAAATGGCATCTGAATAAATGAAATCAAAAGGAGGACAAATTAAGAAGCCAGACATCCTACTGTTGACTTTAACAGGGCGGTGCTTTAAATAATTTTTCCAGTGTATGTGCACTGTGGTCATTTTATCCACTTCACCCAAAGTGCCAAAGAGCAATGTGAGATTCTTACAAGAAGTCACCCAGTCCCTGTGATCCCTCTACACATTGCACAGGTCACCAACAGAAAACTTACTCGTTATTCCCTATCTGCAATGTTTCTCCAGCAATTCCTGCGCCCGGTTTCGCCGCTGCCTGTGGCTCTGCAGGCAGCACAGGAAGCCCTGCACTCGTCCCCCCCTTCCAGGCTTCAGCAGAGCCCTGCAACTGTCCCAGAGCCACCAAACAGTGAAGGTCTGTTCCTCCCAGCAAACGGCAAGTTTGAGTGCGGTTATTCAGATCCTCAGAGTAATGAATCACACACGCTGTCCTGCCCAAAAGTGTTAAGCTACTATAAAGCCTTACTCGTAGGATTAAAAAAAAGTAAAAAGAAAAATTATTTTAAAAAAATCAAATAATGGATCATTAAAAAAATACTTTCCATATTGCCCTTCTTATATTTTGATAGTTGTGGGAAGTAAAACTTAACTACATCCCACTCGTCTGCACAGCCAGTCCTCCTCGATTGGGAGAAACCTGAACTGCATTGCTCAGGAAAAAAAACTACCCAAAAATCATACTGCCTAATAAGAGAGGAAGCCTTGGACATCTATAGGCACTTCTTACAAAATTCCTGGTCCATCAGACTTCTTTCACTTTTCTTGTACACGTTTGGCAGCAGTAATATTAAGACTAAATAAAGTATCTTAGGCCCTGGAAATGACATAAAAAATCAAATAATGGATCATTAAAAAAATACTTTCCATATTGCCCTTCTTATATTTTGATAGTTGTGGGAAGTAAAACTTAACTACATCCCACTCGTCTGCACAGCCAGTCCTCCTCGATTGGGAGAAACCTGAACTGCATTGCTCAGGAAAAAAACATCCAGAAAACATACTGCCTAATAAGAGAGGAAGCCTTGGACATCTATAGGCATCTTACAAAATTCCTGGTCCATCAGACTTCTTTCACTTTTCTTGTACACGTTTGGCAGCAGTAATATTAAGACTAAATAAAGTATCTTAGGCCCTGGAAATGACATACAAAAAAATATCCTCATTTACTTCACTCAGATGCAGGGAAGCAAGGAAAAAAAAAAAAAAAGGACAGGGGGGGAGCTCCTAAATTCCTTCAGTAATGCACATTACCCACTCATACCTCTCCAAAACAAACACAGGAATAACAAGAAGTTAACTTCTACATTATGTTCAACAGGATTAAAGTTTAGATTCTTGCATGTGTTCACTTACTTGAGGCTTAAAAGGTTATTTTGAAGAAGGAATTAATTCATAAGGGAATACTCCAGCCTTAAAACTTCAGTCAACATTAAAATTTGGTATTTAATTCAGTAATACATATAAGACCATAATTTATTATCAATTTATACATTTTAATGTCACAGTTCGTGTCAACTTTATTACTAACTTCAGTTGGATACTCTTTGTGTTCTGGCTGTATACAATTTCATTTCTATACAGTCATAACCAAGTAGCCTTGCTTAGCATTGTTGACAAGTGGGGGTGCTAATGAGGTTTCAAAATCTTTATGTGTAAATTCACTATTTGTCTAAGTTAAATGAAAACATCATTATCTATAACATTATGGATTATTAAAGTGGAGGGTCAGCATTCACAATGTTTCAAATACTTATGTTTTAACTATGAAGCAAATAAGCACAAAAAAGTTTATGTTTCATTTTATAAATTCAAAACATTGAGTTGTTACACCCCCATGAATGTTATAATTCAGATATATGTCATTTTTCATATATCTAGTGATAAGATACTGAGTTTTAAGGGACTTTTCCTTCTTTCAATGCAGCTTTGGGGTGGGGAGCATTAGAAAAATAAAAGCTGATTTAATTTTAAAAATTAAAGTTACTGCTGAATCAAGAAGTGAAGTGACCTCACTGTACTCAGTTTGGTTCAGAATTGCCCAAAGCAGACACAACATTTGAATCCGTGCTGCAATCCTCAGGCATAATGGGATAAGAGAAGGAGGTGTCTCAGCCTTAAAGCTACATTCACTTGCTTACGTGGATTAAGTCAGATTCTTAATCAGTTGTATTTTAGCTCAATGAATCAGGGTGGTGGTACTTTTTTTTTTAAAATTAGATTATGTAATACCCCAGATTCCAAACAGTTACAGCTCCCCAAAAGAATCACAAGAAGTACTGAAGGTAAAAGGTTATACTAACTAGCAATAAAATCACATCAAGAGCGGAGAGGAGAAAAGCTGCTCTAAGATGCATCAGTTTAAACAGTCACTAAACCAGGTTTCTTAGAGACTTCAAAAATAAATAATTTCCACCAATCATATATTAACTCCATCCCAGATTCAAAGACTTTCAAATTTTTCTGACTGTTACTACCTGAATAACACTGCACAGATTGAGAAGTCACATGAATAAGCATCTTGCTTTTCCTTTCTTTTCAACACTCAAATACACAAAAAGCACAGACTGAGAAAACAATTACCACAGAACATTACCAAAACCCAACATTTTATGCAACAGTACTCACTCTGTTAAAACGTTTGGCTTGAAACAAATGCCCATTCACTCGGTACAGCTTCCTCCATCTTCTGGCTCCACGGCGGTAGATTGATTCTAAGAAAGAAATTAAAGAGGTGTAAAGCAGCAGCATGGAAGCACGGCAACACCAGACACACCACGTTAAGCAAGTTGTGACTTAAAACCATCTTGCTTTTCTAAATGTCAACGCACAGCGAAAATCCCTGCTGATGTGTTTGGTGGTTTGTTTTTTTTGTTTTTTTTTTAAGGCGGCAGTAAATGACAGCTCCTGCAGGATGAGCTTTCACCGCTGCCTCTCCCTTTCCGCCGTCCCTGTCTCCTTCCTCACATGATGATAATCCTGTTACAGTTTCTTGGCCGGTGGCTGCTCAAGCTCAGGTGAGAGGGACAGATAACTGTTAAAGAAACAGCTTCCTCTGAAAAAATTACCGTGCTGATCTCACCGTGTCACCTTCCTCTGTCAACACGTAAGGGATGCGTGGTGCTAACAGTGCTTTAGATTTGCAATATTAAAGATGTTACAAGTCTTGAGAGTTACGTTATTTGACCTCATTTTTATCTTGCCAAACACCACCAAAATGTTTCTTCTGTTACGACACAGTTCAAGTGCAAGTCTGCAATTTAATATATTCTAAACATAACAACAAGCAATCATTTAACCTGTTTTAAGCCAGACTCTCCCAGATGCAACACATGGCAGTACCCAGCAGCTACTCCAGGTTACTTCTATTGTCACTTTTCACTCACATATGTGCAGTTTCTGTGTGACTGACTAATTAGAGCATTTGATATTCAATATTAAGTGAACATTAAGTACCCAGTGGGTAGCACACTAGTACCTAAGTGTGCACCCAGTAGTGCAGGGAGCACAGAGGGGACAAAAAGAGGGGGTGAATTAAACAGAAAATCCAGCAGTGATGTTAAAACTGACAACATATGCCTGATATCAAGAGGCTAAAAAAATAATAATAAAAAAAGAGTCAGATTTGGAAAGATTCTCATTGCTTTATAATTAGTTCTAATTATATCTCCTAGGAGATTTAGATTTAGGAGTTATCAAAGCTTACTGCAATATTTAAAGTTAACAAGCACAAACAAGTCTTGTGTCTAAAAAGACAGCGAGACAAGTCTGATCACATCCCCTTAAACATTTCCAGGAAAAGTATTTTACAGTGTTTTTATGGGAGTTATAATATCTTTTTACTTGAAAGAGAAAGACTAGAATAGATTTAAATAACGATATCGAAGTGAGAGTTATCTCTAGTAATGCAGTAAGTAAGATCTTTCAATATAAAGTTCTATATATGCCTTCTTAAAAACAAATTACTAGTTATACTGCAACAACATAGTTGGCAGCTTGTACAAGATATATCTCATCTACTTTGGACAAAGAAATTAATAAATAGGGCAGTTTCATAGCAAATGGAGAACTAAACAGCATAGGACATATAAATAACTCCATCTGAGAAGACAACAGTAAAACATACACTTTTCCAGTATCTTGTGGAGAGCTACAAATAGACTATATTTGTTACCGTGGTACACTGGTTCTGTGTCAATTTCACAACAACAACAAAAAAAATCAGAAAAATACATGAACTAAAATGCAACAAACAATATAGCAAAGAACATTTAATATAAACACTTTTATAGACTTGACTGATAAACATTGCTACATTCTGACAAGGTATTAAACCATACATTTATAATCCTCAGAAGTTAGCGCAAAATCACCTTTAATGTTTCTGTCTTTCAAGTTTTAAACAGTTAAGTTTTAAATACCCACATCGTATCAAAGATGAAGTCTTTTTTCACTGTCAAAAGATAATGCAAGTAGTAAATAGCTTCTTTGTTGACAAAATATTTTAACTTAATATTGAACAAGTCAAAAATGCCAGGCTACTTACATATTACATGTGAGCACTGACTAGCACTGGATCTGATTTTAGATACTATATTTTTGTCCTTCAAAAGGAAGGCACATAAAAGTATTGAAGTTTCTGTGATTCCACAAATCTACAGTGCCAAATCCACAAACATTCATATGTTACTCTACTTGCATGTGCAAATGTTTACTTTGCAAGCCTTTGAAACAAACATTGCACTGGTAAGTGAATTGTTAACAATTTGGAAGAAACCCCCAAGTTCTCAAAGGAGCCCAAAGAGTGCATGCCACAGAGGTGGCACACACACAGTTACTAGAATAGAAGGGCATCACTTACTATGTTTGACTCACAGTCCTTCAAAATCTGTCAAATATAAACTTTAAAGCAAACGAACCCCCTGGTTTTCCCAAGTGCAAATAAAATTTTAATGAGAACCTAGCAAAACTACTGCAAACTTTTTACCTAAAATATGCTCAAACATCAATGAAAACCTGTTCTACCATTTGTGGGATGACTTTTCACCGAGAGGAAGAAAAAATTCACACAGATTTTTTCCAAAATAGCTAATTGATTCATTAGACAAAGCACCATATGGAGGCAACCTAATACATCTGTGTTCTGAACGTTAGCTTATCACTGACATGAGAAATAGTAAGTGAATGGTAAGTTAACAAGCAGCTTGTGATGATGAAGTCTGTAAATAAAGGAGCAAGTCACTTCCCTAATTAATGATAAATATTAAATCAAAGTCAGGGTTTTATATCATATACTTGTGAGGCAGCAGTCTACCAAAAACTAAACTTAATATAGCGTAGCTTTAAAGAAGCAGAACCCCCTACAATTTAACACTGATACTGATTCAGTGCAAGGTTTAAGGGAAATCAATTCCATCTCTACAAGGGGCCAAGGTAAAAAAAAAATAAAAATGAATGAGAAAACAGCAGTTAATGTAAGACACACCTTTATCTCCCAAGTTCTATTATTATCATACAATAAAATTAAATGTGTATGACAGAATAAGAAGTTCTCAGTATTATCAATAACAGTATTCATTTTTGTAGTCCATATTCAGTCAGGGGCACAAAGTCCATGTGACAGAATAAGTTCTCAGTATTATCAATAACAGTCTTCATTTTTCTAGTCCATATTCAGTCAGGGGCACAAAGTCCTTTACCGAGGTACACTGCTTCTGTGTCAATTTCACAACCAAAAAAAAAACAACACAGAAAAATACATGAACTAAAATGCACCAAACAATATAGCAAAGAACATCTAATATAAAAACTTTGATAGACTTGACTGATAAACTTTGCTACATTCTGACAAGGTATTAAACCCTAAGTTTATAATCCTCAGAAGTTAGCGCAAAATCACCTTTAATGTTTCTGTCTTTCAAGTTTTAAACAGTTAAGTTTTAAATACCCACATCTTATCAAAGATGAAGTCTTTTTTTTCACTCTCAAAAGATAATGCAAGTAGTAAATAGCTTCCTTGTTGAAAAAAATATTTTAACTTAATATTGAACAAGTCAAAAATGCCAGGCTACTTACATATTACATGTGAGCACTGACTAGCACTGGATCTGATTTTAGATACTATATTTTTAAGCATTGCCCACAGGTCAAGGGAGGTGATCCTTCCCCTCTATCCAGTTGGAGTCCAGTGAATATGGGAGTACCCCAGGGGACAATACTGGCTCCAGTCCTGCCCAACACCCTCACCAGTGACCTAGATGGGACAGAGCACACCCTTGGCAAGTTCACCAACAACCCAGAACTGGGAGGAATGGCTGATACTCCAAACAGTTGTGTTGCCAAAGAGACCTCAGCTCCTGGAGAACTGAGCAGGCAAGAACCTCAAAGTCCAAAGGGAAGTACAAAGTCCTGCACCTCAGGAGGAATAACTCCACGCACCCCATAATATAACCAGTATATGCTGGGGGCAGACCAGCTGGAAAGTAGCTTTGAATATAAGGACCTGGGGGTCCTGGTGGGCACCAATTTGAACATGAGCCAGCAATTCACCCTCGGGGCAAAGGTGGCTAATGCTATCCTGGGCTACGTTTGGTGGAGCTTTGCCGGCAGGTCAAGGGAGGTGATCCTTCCCCTCTATTCAGCACTGGAGAGGCCTCAACTGGAGTACTGGGTCCAGTATCAGGCTCCCCAGTACAGGAGAGGCATGGCACTATTGGAGAGAGTCCAGAGAAAGGCTAAGATGATGATGAAGGGACTGGACCACCTCTCATACGAGGAGAGGCTGAAAGAGCTGGGACTGTTCGGTCCAGAGCAGGGCAGGCTCAGAGACATCTCCTCAATGTATACACATACCTGAAGGGAGGCATCATTAAGAGCAAGTCAGACTGGTTTCAGTGGTGCCCAGTGACAGGACAAGAGATAATGGGCACAAACTGGAACACAGGACGTTCCATCTGAACATCAGGAAACATGCCTTCCCAGTGAGGGTGGCTGAGCACTGGGAAGAGGTTGCAGAGATATTCAGAAGCCATCTGGGCTGCTCCTGGGCAACCTGCTTGGAACAACCTACAGAAATGCACCAACATGGCTATTCTACATACCTCGGAATGCACCCAGGAAAAGAGAACATCCTCCCTACAAATTCACTTAAGGATAATGGCAGATTCTAAAAAGGAGTTTGATTTTTTAATATCATTATTATTTTGAAGCATTATTAGCTTCAAAATATCCTAACTAAAGCTATACTAGATCAAAGAAACCACCCAGAACAATAATCAGATTCCTGAGACGGCAGCACGGATGTGTCTTGAAATAAGAAACAAACAATTTATTGCCAGTGTTCTGTGTGATGTGTGAACAAAGCTCTAATCATAGTCTGCATTTCACCCCTACACTTCATATGTGATAAGTGAATTGTTAACAATTTGGAAGAAACCCCCAAGTTCTCAAAGGAGCCCAAAGAGTGCATGCCACAGAGGTGGCACACACACAGTTACTAGAATAGAAGGGCATCACTTACTATGTTTGACTCACAGTCCTTCAAAATCTGTCAAATATAAACTTTAAAGCAAACGAACCCCCTGGTTTTCCCAAGTGCAAATAAAATTTTAATGAGAACCTAGCAAAACTACTGCAAACTTTTTACCTAAAATATGCTCAAACATCAATGAAAACCTGTTCTACCATTTGTGGGATGACTTTTCACCGAGAGGAA